ACCCTCGGAGTTGCGCCCGCACCTCGCTCAGCCAGTGAGCGGGAACCGGTCTGTATGTGGGATCCGAACCCTCGGCGGGAGCGCCGCTGCGCTCCCAAGCGGCGCACTATCCAGTGCGCCACCGGGCCGGCCCCTGAAACTTCATTTTTTTGTTTTATGTTTCAGACATAATTGCCTTTCCATTTCTCATTCTTTCATCCACCACATCTGCTTTTTAACACCTTAGCACTTTATATAGCTTTTGTTTTTAATGGGCTTAACCTTGTTTCTTTCTCCATCGGCCTTCTCATAAATTTAGTAGGGAGGTGTGTGATTTATAAATACTCGTTAACATTGTTTTTAATGTAGTAGAGATTTCAGTTGTTATTGGATCACATAGTGATTTAAAGGTATTGAATTTTAGCCAGGGGGGTTTATCTGTGCATTTACGCATCAGTGCAGCAGTTGTTAAAGAGGTTCGATGTCCTGTGTGCCTTTCTGTTTCTGTGATTGGCACAATTGAAGCCTGACCACCACTCAGTTATTGTTGTTTTAAACCTTGGGCTGGTCACTGGAAACTCTGGGAGACACTTTACTGATATGTTTAAAATGGGTAATATTCTTATCTATTTCACAAGGTTTGTTTTATGATGATTAAATTAGATAATGTAGGTGTATGGAATAAAGTAAATGTTAGTATTCCTTAGCTACGCCATATTGATAAGCGTTTATAATATTTAGTCATTCCCTTTCTCTTTCTCCGGCCAGCTGGAGGTGACCTGACCGTGTCTTTGACAGATGGGAGCTTGGCCACCCTCGAGGGCATCCAGCTACAGTTGGCTGCTAACTTGGTTGGACCAAACGTTCAGATTTCTGGAATCGATGCCTCGAGCATCAACAACATCACACTGCAAGTAGGGCACCTGCCGTGGTTTTCTGTGCTTTAATGTTGTCTGTGTCACAAAGAAACATAAAATTCTCATTGCAAGTGCCTGTTGCTTTTCAGATTGATCCAAGTGTTCTGCAGCAGACGCTACAGCAGGGCAGCTTGCTTGCTCAGCAGCTCACCGGGGAGCCTGGCCTGGCCCCACAGAACAGCTCTCTACAGACAGCAGACAGTACAGTCCCAGCCAGTGTGGTAATTCAGCCTCTCTCTAGCCTGTCCTTGCAGCCCACGGTGACGTCTGCTAACCTGACCATTGGCCCGCTGTCTGAGCAGGATTCTGTGCTGACCACTAGCAGCAGTGGTAAGAGGTGTTGAGGTTCTTGCTTAGAGTCACATATTTGATTTTAGGACATTACGATGTTGCTTTCTTCTTTTTGTAAAGCTCACCAGGTAAATCAGCTGTCCTAAGAATAAAACAAGCTTTTCTCACAATTTGTGATGCTGATTCAGTCTGCACACATGGATCTCCACATTCAGTTACCATTTCATGCTGGCTGCCCGTTTCATCATGAGGCTTTCTTGCCTTTAGATGAAGGAACTAGAGATGACCAATATTTTATTTTGAATCTTTCACTTTTTGAAACAATTTAATTAAAGTAATCTTAATATAAAATGGGAGAACCTTTTTTTTTTAGTTCAACTTTGTTTTGTTTTGTAATGATGATCAGGAACCCAAGATCTCACTCAAGTGATGACTTCGCAAGGTCTGGTGTCCACCTCCAGTGTCCCCCATGAGATCACCCTGACCATTAACAACTCGAGTCTCAGCCAGGTCCTGGCACAGGCTGCTGGACCCACCACTACATCTTCTTCGGGGTCTCCTCAGGAAATCACCCTGACTATCTCTGGTTAGTAAGTTAATATTTTAAACATTCTTTCACTGCAATATAAGCATGTCTTACTTATATCTCTTTTTCTACAACACTCAGCTTTGCATAAAGCCAGTCCTCAATAAGTATTTATAATTTATGTGAGAAATTCAAGTTTAATGAAAATAATGTGCTGCAGTTCAAATTGAATACCAGAAATTAAAAATTATAGTTTCTTATGTCACTTCCAGTTTGAATAGAGTCAATCAATTAATTGATTAATTTTTAGAGAGTCAGTTATTTTTGTCATGTATTTTTTAGTTAGTAAAGAGCAAAAACCATAGCTTCATGATTCTCACTCATGCTTATTAAACTAAAGGAATATCATTGGTATAAACTGTGTGCACTAGGACATCATAGATACTCACGGTACTCTCCTTATCTTAGGCCTTCAGAATTCTACTTAGATTATGTAGAAAAATTTTAAATATGGTACAACATTGAAAAACAGATAAGCATGTAGAAAATACTCTTTGGCAGCAAAGCTCACTTGAAATTGGAAAACAAATCCTGCTTGTTGGTCAGTCACCAAGCATACTCACGCCCTGCCCAAGGGCTGCGGTGTTCACAGTCCAGCTTTCTCCTTGTGTGCCCCTCCCTTGATCTTTATGTACATATCAGAGAGTCTGATAGTGTGCCCCATCCATGTTAGCTTTGGACATATTTTACAGGTGTTCTTTGCCCATATGATTCTTAGCTATGAGATCTTCATTTTTTAATTTAACAAAAATTTTTATACTCCTTACTATGTGCCAGGCATTATTCTAATTTATAACTTTTACAAATGTTAACTCATTTAAGCCTCGTAACTACCTTATGAGGTTGTTAAAAATAATAAAAACATTTCGCTGAGAATCAGAATTACTGTGTGCAGATATGGTGTGGTGGAGGGAAGCAGCTGTGTTCCCTCACAACAGAGAATAATGACAGACGCTGTGCAAGGTGCAACTGTGACATCCTTCCAGGATCCTGTTCCTTCTGTTTCAGTGAGATTCCTGCAAAACTTAATAGTGGAATTGAAAGAGAAGGTATTTAGAAGAAAACGAAAGGCTTTCTTTTTCAGGAAGGTGTCTTTATTCCTTTTAGTATATGAGAAATTTGAGGAAACATTTTTACATGGAGCTTTGCTTTTGAATGATATGCATTGATTTTTAGATGCTATTGGACAACAAAAATTAACATTGAACTTTATATAGTTCAGTAACCTTTCTCCTTTCATTATAATTTCATTATCTGAATTTTAATGTTGGAAATATAGAAGAGTTATTTTTAAAAGGTTATTTTGTTCATCAAGTTAACTTTTTTTGAGTACCCTTAATATATGAGGCATTGTGCTAGATCCTATCAAAAACACATAATGCCTGCTTCTTGCTTGTAGTTCATAAAATATGTTATTGAGCTTGTGGATTGTGCTTCTGTCTTTTCTATGTTTTCCTATTATTGGTCATTTGGTTATTTTATTGCTTATTAGTATATTCTAAAGTATAGATGAATATAACTAATTTCTAAAGGCTTCTCCTAGGAGAAAACTTTAAATCAGCTAATGAAATAAGTTTTATACAAACTTTGGGATTAAGATTTCTTGTTTTTCACTTCTTATTATGATGGAGAATGAGAATTGTCTATTGTGACTCACAAGTCAACATTTCCGTAACCCATTCTGAAAAGGCTGCAGAAGGCATTTAATTTATGGCCACCTGTTGAAAACATCTGGATATTCTATAGAAATCTTCAACTATTTTGTGGGATGTACTTGTTTCCTTTAGTGCATAGAATTATAAATGCTTGTGAACACTAGAGAATGCAAATATTACTTTAAATAAGTCTTATAGATTGTAGCAGTTTATGAATCCATGCATTTGGAGAAAAAAATTAAACACTGGGTAAGGTGCAAGGACAGCTCTTTGGCTCCCCTGATTGTCTTGTACATACAGTAAAAGTCCTCTCACCTGATTTTTTCAGCCCAGTTATTAATTAAAAGCAATGTAAAATAGGGAATCAAAAAAGAGATACCTACATACTTTGAACATCCATTCACAGATCTTTTGAATAGGGTCTGCTCTGATAATAATACTTCTACATTTTAAAAAATTTTGCCTGTACTCATGCCCATGATGCATAGTTTCATTTCTTGTTTCTATTTTAGAACGCCATGAGAGTGTAGCTAATGATAAAGCAATCACAGTGCAAGCATACTTTTCTCTTTTGATCCTTTTTTCTTTTCAGTTTTGTGTAGTTGTCTCGCTAATTTGACAGCAGAATTTTTAAAGCATCTTGTCTGTATCAGGTCTTTCCAAAGCATTCAGTTTAGTTTTCTTTGAAACCTCAATAGGTTTTTTAATTCACATAGTCATTTCCAGTTTCCATACTATTTGATCATGTTCTATTATTACTGTAGCTAAAAAAGCTGCCATAAGCAAGTTTAGAACCAGAAGGGAATGTGTTGTGGTAGGAGTGCTTCACAGGCATATCAGAGCGTACCTGTAAGCAGTCAGTGTGCACGGGGCTGGAGCCGGAGCATGCTATATAGGGAAGTCTCAGCAGTCTGGGGATGTCAGTTAAGGGAGCTTTTGTTATGTTTGGTGATGTCCTTTAGATCCATTTAAACATGTTTTTGATACCCTTGGCAGTTGACTACATTTGGAAATATTTTCAATTCAGTGAAAGTTTTGTTCAACAAAGTGTGTAATTTTAAGTGCCTAAATTACTGAATTAAACTAGAACTCTTAAGAAGTATTTTGAAAATAATTAATAGCTTCAAAAGTGTGAACAAATACTGCCATTTGGGAAAATGTATTTTTGTGGTCGCATTTTCAATTTTTCTATACATATTATTAAAAATGAAAGCTTTGAGGATGCTATTATATGTTTAAACACAATTAGAATGTTATTTTCAGATATCACAATATTAATTTCCATTTAGGTCAAGATCTTATTCAACACAATTCTAATGGAAGTAGTGAAATAAACGGAAGCATAAGATTGTCAGCACCTGCCATCAATAATCAGTCTACAGGTGCCACCTTAACAATAAGCAATGACCAGCTTCTCTCACAGAGTGCAACATTAAACTCTTCAGGTATGCGGCTCATGATTTAGCCAAGCTAAGATATCATAGTTAAGAGCCATTGTACATAGTAAATGGAAAAAATTAAGCTGTCCTTTAGCATGACAGATCTGTCTGTCATCTGTGTGTCTTGTCACACGCAGTATCATTCCATGAGGATTAGTGGCTTATGTGTGATTCTAGGATACAGAATTCTTTCTAGAGTTATCAGCCAGTTGGTAATTATACCTTATGTAATGGAAGTAAGTAATTTTATTCAAATATATACAAGGCATTGTGTGTTTAAGTAAGTTAGTGTTTCGATGACTCCATTTATAAAGCTGCTGCTTTCTGACCTGGCACTGGAGGTTCCTCTTAGTTCATGGCTTCTGCCCTTCACTGTGAATTTCCTCATACCAGCTGACAGCAGGACACCAAAATTAAAAGATGGCAGCTTTCTAAGATTTTTGAGGTATATATTTTTATAAAAAATAAACTTCTTATTAATAAATGAGTTCAAGTAAAATAAGTTTCATAAGTAACCGTTAACAGTTTAGGATAACATATCTATCTAGTTGTCTTTACTTCGTACAGATTTGTTCTTTTCTTAGCCTTCTTATTTTCCAACTCTGTATATCAATTTTTGAGGGAAAAAATTTTCAGTTGTATTTGTACCCAAAAGCTAGACTTTTTTCATGCTTAATTGAAATGCTTTCTTATCCAGTAATTAATTTATTCAGTAAAAGATTGTAGTGTCTGCTATGTGGTGTGGAGTGTGGGAATACAGGACTGAACAAGCTCAGCAGGGTCCCCCGGCACTCAGATTCTTAGGATCAGACATTTTTTGAAAAATACATAAATAAATGTGAAATTACAGTTGTAACAATTTGTAGAGGAGAGATGATAGTTCTGAGAGAGCCCATCACAGGGGATTGACCTTGGGGGACAACTCCTCTGAAGTCCTGGCTGAGCTGAGGGAAGGTCTGGGAATGGGATGGGCATTTCTCCCCGAGCCAGTGGCATGGCTCTGTGTGGCCTCTGAGCTGAGGAAGGCCCGTTAGCTGAAGCAAGGATGCACAGGCCTCTCAGGACCTCAGAGGAACTTCCTGCGTACACCTCTCATTTGTTAAAGGTAGACTGAGAGCTTTGTCTGAATCATATGTTGGCAGATCCACGCAGGTCCAGATCTAGACTGCTCACCAGCAGTCATGTCCACCATGCCCTTTGCCCTGTGTTGCTTACTTGGCCTACTTGAATCTCTCCCAGTTTCTTATATCAGTTGGTTTGTTTAATTTGGGGTCTCTAAAAAGCTGGATCATAGAACTTAATTCTTTTACTTAATAATTTGAAATAAGAGATGCCTTGTGTTTTGTTTTTCAATTAAGGGGAGTTTTGTTTAATGTTATAATTGACTACAATATAGGACTTCCAGGTTATGGTTTAGTCTCTTATGGGTAAAATGTCCAAAATACATCATGTACTATTAAGTACATAGCAAACTTTTTTCTGCAAACTTTTTCTAAAAAGGTGTAGTTTGTTCCTCTGTGTGTGTGTGTAAGGATCAGACAGCATGTTCTCGCTTATCATCTCGAGAATTCTAATCACAAACCATGACTTTATCGTCTTTCCCACCCTGTGTGGCTCCTATTGTAATATGAAGATGTTTTTCTCATATGTGGGCCAGGGTGACTGCGTGTCACTTGCCGACGCGTGTCTGTTCTGGAGGTGGCAGGAATTCGAGCTCCCCCAACATGCCTCACTGAGGAGCAAGGTGGCTGTTGGTGCTGGAGTCTGTATCCCTGGGAGCTGTGCTTGACGTTGCCAGTGAGTCCTTGGCAGATTGATGAAAAGACAGGTAGAGTGGTAGATGTTTTAGTTTAGGTGGAGTGGTTTTTTTGTGCTTCTTGGTGATCCTGGGTGTTTGCTGGTGCAGTAGATTACTTACTTCAGAATTGGGGATGTTTGAACATAGCAGAGAAGTTGGGTGCAGTGAGAACGCATGGACTCCGAGGGCTCTGTTTGGCTGCCGGTGTTTCTTTAAGTGACTGTTGTCTGGCTAGGTGGGCGGTGGGTGTCTTACCTATGAATTTGACTCCACAGACATACTGAAGAGCCTCACCCCAGCATCTTGTGTGCAGGGGAGAGGGATCTTTGAGGGCAGTAGAGCTGCTCCCATTTGGCTGTGTGCAAGGTTCCTGTGTATTGTACAACTGAAGTTTCTTTAAAAACAGCAATGGACCCTTTTTGCTAATTTAATTTTTTTCTTATAGACTTTAAGGCTTTTTTTGGTTTGTTTTAGGGCCAGCTGAGAAAATTTCTTTCTCTCTCTTTTGTATGCTACTTTAGCTTACATCCCAGATGTTAAATTTAAAAATAAAATGTTTTTCAAAGAATTCAGTAACATTGTAAAGTAAACAATGAACTCATAATTAAAGAACATTTATGTATTGTAATATCAGCTGTTCTTAATACAGGATTAATTTTATATGACCAGCTGAGTTGTATTATGTTCTCATTTACCTTTTTGCATCTTTGAATGATCCTGGATATAGGAAGAGATTCTTCACACATTGACCTCCTCAGTCCTTGATATTAAGCAGATATTTTAGAGTGATTTGCATATCCCATTTGTACTAGTTATAATTATGTAGCTGATCCCATCTCTGTAGCAGCAGCCAACAGATTGCATCTTCATGGGCAATATTTATCTTAGAGTCAAAGTCAGTCTCAGATCTAGCTTTAGGCCACACAACTAAGAATTGAAATTAAAATGACATTGTTTTGAAATTAAACATAGCTCTTCTAAGATCAAAACTAAAAGAAAAGCTGACAGCATTGCCATATAATATTAATGTTGCTAGTCCTTTATATCAGAACATAATAAGTATGCATGTGGCTATTACTATTTTTTAACTCTTTATGTAAGCAAGGTTTGGTTAAGGCTCATCAGCTTCTAGGTTAACTCTGGCTTTTTGCGTCTTAATTGAAGGCATTGAAAGAAGCAGTGTGTTATCTTTTAGGGATTTACAAGTAAATTGAAGTGAGGAAATCAGCCAAAATTTCACATGCAGGATAAAAGCTTTTGTTCAGATGTATGATCCTGCCAACATCCATTAAAAAGTCTGACATAAATAGTTTTCCTAAAAAATGATTTGGTGTAGTGTAAGTACCCTCTCGGGCAGATAGTAGTATTGATAGAGGCTTGAAATTTAACACAAGTTTTTAAGGAATTTATTTCAAATTAGTATTATCTTTTTGTTCTTACCTTAGTCCACTTTTAAATTTGAGATAATTTTGATGAATAAACTGAATTCTTTCAGTGAAAAGGAAGTCCAATTCTTCATTTACTAGTTCTTTGTAAGGTTGTTTTAGGCTTAGTTTCTTCTAGATTTAATCAATTGCTTATTGTCTAATAGCTCAAAAATTTTAACATTTCCCATTTGTGGATACATTGTTAAATTGAGGAGGACATTATCCACACTTCCAGGTTACAACACAGTGTGATCTGGATACTTGGGAGTGAACGGCCAGACTGCCCTGCCCCCACCTCCTCCCTTCCCACATTTTTGTTAATCTCAAGAAAAAAATTGATGTATCTTTTAAACTACTATGAAGCCTTACAAAGTTATATTTTTTTCTTAGAAGCTATGAAAACTTATCTCAACAAGGATTTAAGAGAGTGTTGGGTTTGATTAACATACAGCTTCTTAATCCTTTAAAGATTACTTTTTTTGAGTCAGAAACAAAGTGAAGACAGGTTGCTTTAATATATCCTAGAGGAACACTGTTTTCAGAAAAATAAATGGAATATAAATTTGTCTACTATCTTTACTTGAATATTGGATTCTAATTTTCATCTTAAGAGTATTTCATTTGAATTTGAAATTGTGGCTTCTAGGGCATTCAACAAATATATAATTAAGAGCTATTTGAAGTTTGTAATTATTTAATTACACGCTTAAGAAAATTTCAGATTTTCCCTACTCTAGTCACGTGTTCTTTTCGATCATATTGAGTATAGTTCTACTTGAACTGTTGTCATCCTGTTTGTGGAAAGCTCATTGGATTAGGAACATTATTAAAGGTTCACCGTTTGAGTTGACATATGTACTCTGACATTATCTGTAGTTGTTTAGAGTTTTCACTGAACTTTGTGTCAGGATTCACTTTGAATGAACAGACAGGCCTGTATTTTCTCTTTAGATTTCTCATGATGCACAGTGTTGGGACCTTTTGATACATTAATAATCACTAGAAAGTCAGAAGTATTTTACTGGTGGGAAGGGGAGAGGGTTGTTTGGCCCCTTTATACTGGACATTAGGGTGAGGTTTGGATTCTGTGCTGTTTTTGATTGGCCCTTTCTACGTGTGACCTGGGTGAGACTCCTAGGCACATGCTTCTCATCCCCTGTCCTCCCCTCCCAGGGTGCTGTGACAGCTGCCTACGTGCAGGAGGGTAGGCCAGACCCGCCCCCAGCCTCTCCTGGTGAATTTGACTGACCGGCAGTTCCCGCAGCCCTCACCATGGTCCTCAGCATCCTTCCTCTTCATCTTCATCCACTCCCATTAAAATCATCCCTGCGTGCTGATTTGGAAGCATGAGGGTGTGTGGAGGGAAGCTTAGGAAGACTGCAGCAGACTGTTGCAATGATAACTGGAGTGCCCTGCGCATTTGGACATCCCCAACAAACCCATGCTCCTCATTCCTGCGGCCACGCGGCCAAGGAATCCACTCTGCAGGACATGAGAGCAGGCAGGGGTCTGGCCTAGCTGCCTGTGGTGCCGCAGCAGCTGCTGCAGTGCATGGGATCCAGCCTGCTAATGGTTGTACTGCTTTGGAACATTCCAGGTCTTTGCAGCACAGTGTGGGACCCGCGGAGTGTGGGTCTGTGGAGGCACTGTATCTGGAGAACTCCAGTTATTAATAAGTAACTGGTTTTCCTGTTGGCCCCTGACTCCTTGGAAAGGCTCTGGACTGATGAGACCCAAGTCACAGCAAAGTATCGACAGGATACTTTTGTTGTTAAACCTGATCAGGAAATAGCATTTTGAACTGACTGTTTCATTGTCATGATGGTGTCCTCAGCAGCTAGCACGTGGCTGACACACGTGGCTGAGATGAACGGATGAGTAGATTGTGGGGATGGAGTGGTGTGCGGATGTGCGTATGTATTTGTGCTCATGGGTAAAAGCTTTTGAATTGTCCTTGTGGATGCTTGCTAGGACTTGGATCATCTCCTAAGCCTGTCTCGTGTGCTGGTGAGGTCGGGTGCATGAGTGTTTGTTGTGTAGAAGAAAAGGCATTTCTTTGCCTGATTCTGTCCCAGATATCTTCTTTTCTCTTATTATTGGCTACAAGGGGAAAATATTTAAAAGGTTTAGGCTTTTCCAAAGAAACTTAAGATGTCATGCAGGATAAATTAATACTTTAAGGATTACATGAGGTTTATTTTGATGGCTTGTAGTTCAGAATAAGTAGACATCAGGAGTGTCGAAAGTGAGAAAATGGGCAGAGACAGCCACATTTATCCACCACACATTGGAACTCGTCATGGCTCTGTGGCTCACACTTGATTCCTTTCTTCAGCTGGTCTCTTCAGTCCTGGCTAGGGACAGTGTCCTGGGGACTCTTGTCTGAGTTTTCACTCTACAGTAGTGACAGCGACTGGGACTTCAGGGTCACGTTTTCTCTCTTCCTATTTTTATTCCATATTATACTTAAGAGGCAGAGTATGCTCATGTGTAAAGATATTTAGAAACTAAGAAAAGCCATGCCATAGGATTACAGTTAAAGATTCTATGATTTCCTCGATGCGGTTTCAAAAGCTTAGGCAGTGTAAATGCTCATTACTACAGATCACCTCCTTTATGAAAACCATTGTTCCCGTGCCCTTAAAATTTGACTTATCTAGCTTTCCCATTGATCCTCTCATTTCACCTCTTTTGTAGAACTTAATGCCACAAGCGTAAGCCTCCCCTCAGCCACACCGATGTCTCCGTCAGCCATTTCGACGCAGAACCTGGTCATGTCTTCGTCGGGTGTGGGTGGAGACGCCAGCGTCACGCTGACACTGGCCGACACTCAGGGCATGCTGTCGGGGGGCCTGGACACGGTGACACTTAACATCACCTCTCAGGTCAGTGCCCTCAGAGCAGCAGCTGTCCAACTGTCAAAAAGTGATCTTTGGGAACTTTATTAATTTATTCTTTCTTCAATGTATATTCTGAACATTTTCTTTAAAAACTGAAGTGGGTTTTTTTCTGATTAAAAAAAGTAATATGTTCAGTGTAAAATACAATACAGAAAAGTATGAAAAACAAAGTAAAAAAACCAAACCTTTACTCCAACAACCAGGTGGAACCACAGTTAGCATTTTGATAAGTGTATCCTTCCAAACCTTTATATGCATATATGCAGGTACATATTTTTAAATTTTTACAGAAGCAAGTTATTGTAATACTTCCTTTAGTATAGACTTTTTCTCCTTCTTTTATATTGTGAACATCTTCCCTTATCAATAATTTTAGCAACACAAAACTTTAATGGCTGTACAGTATATAGTTTTGTCGATGAGCTTTACTGAAGGGCATTATGTTGTATTCAAGCAGTTGGTGGGCTGGTGGGGGCTGGAGTCTGTACTGTTAACCTACACACATGAGTGTGCACACACACATACTCCTCTCAGCCAAGGCACAAACACTTGGTCATGTGCACTTGGGGAATACAAATTCTTGTAATTTCTACCTCAGTGTAAACCAGATTTAGCAAAAAAATAGAGCACAAATAATAGTACAAACCAAAAGTAAGTGACTTAGATTACGTCATGTAAGTAGATTCATGTACCACTTCCAGGTTCTCCCCTCCCCCAGGCCCACCCTCACCCCTCAATCTTTTACCCCAGCCCCTGTACCCACTAATCTATTTTCTGTCTCTATGGATTTGTCCATTCTGGATGTTCTTATAAACAGAATCGTACAACATGTGGTCTTTGTGACTGGCTGTTTTCATTTAGCATGGTGTTTCAAGGTTCTTCCATATTCTAGCGCGTATCAGTACATTCCTTTTTATTCCTTTTTATTGCCAAATAATATTTTCTTATATGGATATACCAGTTTTATTTATATATTCATCAGTTGATGGGCATTTGAGCTCTTTCTCCTTTTTGGTTATTATGAATAATGCTGAATAATATTCCTTTTTATTGCCAAATAATATTCCCTTATATGGATATTCCAGTTTTATGTATATATTCATCAGTTGATGGGCATTTGGACTGTTTTCCCCTTTTGGCTATTGTGAATAATGCTGCTGTGAATGTGTACAAGGTTTTGAATGGACATGAGTTTTCATTTCTTGTTTTGAGGACCTCCTGGCTTGTTTTCTGAAGTGGCTGCAGGATAAAAGATCTTCTAAATCTTGACTTGATCTGCTAATGTTACAACTTCTAAAATAGTAATAACCTTTTGCCAGGGCCAGCAATTCCCAGCACTGCTCACGGATCCATCTCTCTCAGGCCAAGGTGGAGCCGGCTCCCCACAAGTGATACTGGTGAGCCACACTCCCCAGCCACCGGCTGCCACTTGTGAAGAAATAGCCTACCAGGTACAGTGCATACTCCAATTCACAGAGCTTCTATAGCTTGTAAAAACAAAAACCACATAGATTAAGAAGGGAGGGTGATGTGGGGCCGGGTCAGAGGGCGCCCAGTGGTTGGGGCCATCTTATGAGGAGGTGTTTCCAGCCAAATTCCAGTCTAACGGGGGTGCTGAGCTCTGAGTACGTTCAGGCATGTGTCAGACGATGGATACACTATCTCATTGATTCGTGATTTGTCTTTTAGGGGCTGAGGTTTTAGTACCACAAATTTAGATGTAACAATGATGTGCAAATCTAGTTTCAAATCCATTAATAATCTTCTTATATCTCCTATGTGATGAGACTTCACATAGCTGCTTCCTTACATTTAGTTCTTTTTGTGGGTTTTCTTGTAACACCTTTGCTGATTCTTTAAGTCTTATTCTTTTTCATGTACACATTCATGTGTGTGTGTGTGTGTGTGTGTGTGTAAGACCTATTTGGCATTTGACTAGCCTTTTTTCTTAAAAAGCATGTTTTGGGGGGCAAAACTTTTAGTAAATGACATTATAAAAGAGTCTAAAAACCCTTGCCTTAAAACTTTTCAAAATCACAATTAAAGCACAGATAATAAATAATCTCTGACTTTAAGAAACATCAAGTTTTATGCTCAAGCATTCCTAGCAAATGAGTTTCCAACATAATTACTTACTGTTTTTTCAGTGGAAAAAGGACATTTTCATACAGCTATTAGACGTAACCAGCACTGGGATTTCCCCCAGTGTGGCATAATCAGAGCTCATCTGGCTGAATTTCAGTTTGCGTAACCTTAATACGTCTGTGTCTGGGGTCCTCGAAACCACCCTCAGTTTGATGATTCACTACAAGGAGATTCATAGGACTCAGAAAAGTCTCGTATACTTGTGGTTACAGTTTATACTTGTGGTCACAGTGGAAAAGCACTGACTAGAACCAGTGCAAGGCAAAGACTCGTTGGATGGAGTACAGGAGAACGCAGATGCAAGCTTCCAGTTGTCCTTCCCACTGGAGTCACACGGACAGTGCCAGTTCTCCCAGGAGCAATGTGTGACAGCACTTGCCAAGTGTTGCCAACCAGGGAAGCTCAGCTGAGCTGTGGTGTTCAGGGTTTCACTGGGATCAGTCACGTAAGCGGGAAGCACCCAGTCTGCAACCCTCCACGCTCCCAGGTCAGACTGAAGCAGCATGGCCCAGGTCCTCAGGCATTCACCATAAATCACATTGTCAGCATAAACTATCTGGCATTTCCTGAGGCCCTGGTATTAAAATACTCTTATCTGGCAGTATATTCCAAGGGCTTGTAGGTTATGTTCCTGGAGCTGGTTACTGCACCCATGGGCTGACAGATGGCGAAAGCACTGACTTCTTGATCATTATTTTTAATTTCTTTTTGTTGTGATGCTTTTTTAGTGAAGCCTTTCTAGTCTCATGAGTCTGAGAGTTCCTGTTCAACACCGAGGCATACCTTACCTTATACCTGTGTTTTATGACTAGAAAACAAAACTGCTTTGCTGTTTCTTAATCTTATGATTTTTTTCAGTAATTAATATAGCTGGAATAATAATATTTGCAGTAGTCCTCAATTAAAATTAGTTTGAAATGTTTCCATTAAAAAGTGATCTATTCCATTTTAACTTCCACTTGAGTCCTAGCTTGTAATGCAAGAAACCGAACATTAAAACTTGGTTTAGCTTGTCATATTTTTCAGAACTTAGAATGTTAATTAAATATCAAAATGAAGTAGATGATTGATCTGCATAAGTGAGTCATTTGCAAGAAAAATTATCTTAAGTGTTTTCTGTAAACTTCTCCTGTCAGGGCATATAGCACTGTTTGCTAACATTAATTGGTTTTAATCACTGTCTAATTTAGCCCTAAGGCCTTCTTAAGGGAGGTGGAATACTTGTAGTAGCTGCTCCTGGTCACTGCAGGCACCTGCTGGGGTTTGCCTGTGCACTTGGCAGGAAGCTGGAACCACTCTAACCACTGTGGATTTGGCTGAGCCAGCTGTGCTAGTGGACACTTTGTGTGCACCTGCCCATTGTTTTCTGGCTGTGGGACCTCCCATGATCCACGTGTAGATCAAGTCCTGTTCTTTAACTGAGCTGGATTTAGGACCACCTTGTGGGCAGTTACTTGGTGTAAAGCTACAGGACTACGCCAATTGCCGGGTTACAGCAATCTTATTGTTAAAGCAATAGCTATGCCAATTGTAGGGTTAGAGCCATAGCTATGCTAATTGTATGGCTAAGCATTTCATAAGTAAAGCCAAAACATTTCATTATTTTAGTTATACTAAGTTTCTATTTGTATTGTCAGGGCTAGGGCTCAGCCCCTTTAAACCCATTGTACAGACTGGGTCACAAGACCCCTCACATGCCAGGCTGGGTCACAGACCTCTCACATGCAGGTCTACGCTAGTAATTGGGAAAGATTCCAGGAGCCATTGGCAGGTGACATGAGCTCAGTCCTCAGCAGTACTACCAGCAGCAGTGGCAGAGGCGGTGGTGGCCTCTCGGGGCATGCTGGCAGCACCAGCTTGTAGCAACAGTCTCCAGCAGCAGTAGCAGCCTCCCTGTGGTCCCCCCAGGGGCAGAAGGCCCTGCGAATCAGGGCCATTCATCCTTCATACTTAAGTCCATAATCCAGGACACTTGGGTGCACATGCTCAATTACATTAGACAATAACCAAGGAACACCTGAGCGCATGTGCATATTTTACATCACATGCTTGGCAAGATTCTGAATATCTGAGGGGCCCTGACCATTTTCCTTCACTTTCCCTACACTTGGCACTGAGCAAAGCATCAGGCTCACTGATAATTGCTGATGGTGTTGCCCCATTTGATACATCGAGGGTCTCATAGAACTTTCCAGCAAAGTCCCTGGAGCAAAAGTCTTGTCTTTTTCTTTTTATCTTTTTCTTCATGGTTCATCTGAAGAGAAGTGCATACTAGTATGACAAGATACATACTCACAATGTAAAACTGTCTCTGTCATAAAAGAGCCATATAGACAGACTACCTCCTTACTCAGCCTGTCTTTACAAAAATGAATTAATTTCCAAAACCCTGCCATAACTCTTAACAGCTTCATGCTGTTAAAGAGGCTTTGTACAGCAGTAGCCATTTCAGCAGTTAGGCCTTTCTTCTCTCTCTCATTGCTTAAATTAGGAACGCTGCCTTGTTTTGAAATTATTTTTTGCATGAGCAAAGCACTGACACTCGCTGGTGCCTGAGGCCAGGTGCTTTCCGAGGCACTGGATGTGCGTCGTTTGGTGTAGCCCTCACCAAAAACCTGAGAAGTATCTCAGTGTTGCAGCCCCATTCCACTCATGAGGAAACTTTGACTCAAAGACAGCTTTGAGTAACTTAAAGATGCACTGCTGGTGAGACGGGGCTAGTGTTTGGACCCAGATCTGTTTTACTCCACTTTTTATGTCTGAATAGAAGAAATGGCTTTAGCTATTTACACCTGGGTTTCCTGTTAATGGTGACCAGCTGATCTCAGTTGCAAACATTTTTAGTAAGAGGTTAGGTTGTTAGAGGGAGGTTTGGGGTCAGCAGGGTGATAATGTGCCTGGGGTGTATTATGGGCAGCGTTTCTCTGAAATAGCTACCTCGTTTTAGTTTAACAGACATTAACTGACTTCCTGCCAGTGCCAGCCACTGGATGCAGAAGGAATCAGGTCAGTAACAGGTTTTTCAAGCTATCACAGTGAGACTGCAAGGCTGCATTTGTGGTGGGAAGGAGAGCTGCTCCCCTCTTGCGTCCAATTCCTGACAGCTGTGCACCTTATGCTTGAGACCAGATGTATTTGGGTACCCACTTCTATCCCATCCGCCCCCCCACACACACACACCCCAGCGGTTCAGGCCAGCCTGGCCTAGGAGTCGGATTGTTTCCAACTTGGCAGGACACACATCTCAGACCCAGCAGTCACCTCACACTAGTTCTGTAACACTTCCCAGTTTCTACTAAGATCTAATTTACTCTACTTTCAGATTTCCATGTGTTGGGCTAGGGCTCATACCCTTCAAACCTGTTGTACAGACTGGGTCACAGACCCCTCACGTGCCAGGCTGGGTCACCACACCTCACGTGCAGGTCATGAGCTAGGTAATTGGGAAAGATCCTAGGAGCCATTGGCAGACGACACAAGCTTAGTCTTCAGCTTCCTCAGCTTCCTTAGCAGCAGCTGCAGCAGCTTGCAGCAACAGCCTCCTCTCCTCCCCCCCCCTCTCCTCCCCCCCCCCCCGGGCATCCCAGGGAAGGGGGGCACTGTGGATCAGAGCCGCTTGTCCTTTATACTTAAGTCCAATAACCCAGGACACCTGGACACACATACGCAATTACATTAGACAATAACCAAGGAAGAGCTGGGCACACGTGCATAATTACATCGAATGCTGGGGAAGATTCCGAATGCCTCAGGGATCCTGACCATTTATCTTCACTTTACGTATACCATGTATGTGTCATTATGAAATTCAGCAGAACATTGAGGTTTTGCTCCACAATAATTGTGAAGCAGAAGCCTTGTTTCTGATGTGGCAGTCTGCTGATTCTACACTGGAACATGTTCTGCAGAAGTAGTTTTTAAAGTTTGGTTTGTCTTTTGTTGAATGATGTAGACCAGATACCAAATTCTCACTTAGGAGAAAATGTTTGGTTCAGAAACAGTTCTCTGTATGTATTTTAGTTACCATAACTACTGATATTTCAAAACATTAATGGAGAATAGTAGGCAGCACCTGTAGCATTAACCACAAGTGTTTTAGTTAATATTCTTCATGATGTGCCATTTGTGTTAATCGTGAAGTTTTTGATCTGCAGTTACAGAACAGTCTCAAGTATCGTTTGTCCAGTGTTCAGACTTTTTTGGCTCACAAGAAATATATTTTGTGCAGTGACCTGAACACATGTGTGTTCTTGTTCTTGCTTTTCTTTACATACACAGACACTTATGTGTAGGCACCTGCACACCTGACACAGGCGGCACAAAATAAGACCTTATTGTTACGTATTCGCAGTATCTTTTCTCTCTGGTCTTTTCTGTTTTATTCCTTTTTTTCCTCATTCCATTCTTTATTATTATAGCACAAATTAATAGGATCAAAGCACCTCAAAGAAATCTTTTTTCTTCTTGTCATAGTGTTTTTTTCTAATGTTTATCCATTTATGTATCTTCAGCCAAAGCAATGGCATTTTTTAAGCAATAGCATTGGTGCCTGTCCAAGCTAAGACTACTACTACTACTGGTTAGCATTGGTTGAATGCTTGCTTTGTACCAGATACTGTTCCCAGCACCTTTTACACACTACCCCAGTTAATCTTCCCCGGCCCCTGATAGATAGGCATTGTTACTAGTTATTGTTTCTCAGATGACGAAACAGGCAGTGTGGCTGAGTATTGAGCCACAGCCAAGACAATCATGCTGGCGCAAGAATTTGCGCCTGGTCAGTCTGGCTCCTAAGCTCTCTCCTTCACCACCAGTGTGTTGTCTGAGTCTTGCTTCGGTCAGTCCCTCCAAGTATTCCAAGACTACAGTGTACACTCTGGTCTGACACGATGTTGAAGGTGTCTCTGGCTCAACTTGGCAGGCTGGTGAACACATGCAGCACACAGGGACAGCTGTGGCCACCTTGGGTCTGCACTCGTTATTTGGGTTCTCATTCAGTTTGCAAACTGTGCCGGTCTCATAAAGTGCGTGGAAAGTGACAGGATTTCTGATCCTCCAGGTCACCGAAATGTCTGGGAATCCAACCCAGTGCGGCGTGCCTGAGAAGGAGGGCCGCGTGCACCAGTGCCTGGAGTGCGAGCGTGCCTTCACGTCAGCCGCTGTTCTCCTGCACCACAGCAGGGAGGTGCATGGCAAGGAGCGCATTCACGGCTGCCCCGTGTGCAGGAAGGCATTCAAGCGCGCCACGCACCTCAAGGTAACACCCAGCTCACTCACCGGGAGAGGCACCTGTGGGTCCTGGGCTTTGATCCAAGCCACCCGTCTTCCTAGTTGAAGAGTGCGGTTCTTTATTTTTCTGGGGAAAGGGTCAATGGATGTAAATATATTTACCTGTTTGTTTTAGTTGTGATAGGCCTGTCATTGCCTATAGAGAAACAGGTTGCATGTTCCACCTGCAGTTCAAAGTCAGTTTCTAATACAAATTAAAATAACACTGAAATGCCACTTCTCATGTATCAAACTGGCAACAATTTAAAAATCTGTCAGCACCTATTGTTGAGGCTGTGGGTAAACAAACATGCATAACTATTGGAGACACTGCAACCTTATAGGACTTTCCATAGGGGAATTAGGTGGTACCTGGAAAAACTGTATGTGCACCCCCCTTGGGAATCAGCCCTGCAGTTGCCCCTTTAACTGCATACAACATCCATGCCCGGGGTTGTCCACAGCAGCAACACTTGTGATGGTGAGGTGTGGAGCTCCAGGTGCCAGATGTGGGAGGTGGGTGGGTGAACTAGGGACGTGTATTTGGAGGGCAGCGGCCACAGTGTGCAGGGAGCAAAGAGGAGCTCCAGAAAGGGACTTCAGGCAGGGGCCCGTGGCGGCAGGTAGGGGGCTTGTAACTGGGGCCTCTGTCATCCAGCCCAGGGTACCTTGATGCTTCTAGAGGGAGCAGACTAACTCTGCGGTGGAGAAAGCTGACACATGTTGCTGCAGCCCGATGGTCACGCTCAGCATCAGCGGTCACACCACGTCCATGTGTGTCCTTGATGTTGTGTGGCAAGGATGGCACTTCTCCAAACCCCATAACCTCCGTCTCATCCTGAGGAACACAGAGCCTGGCTGAGGGCCATCCTAAAGAATTCTTGACCAGTCCTCCTCAAAACTGTCAAGGACATTAAAAGGAAGGAAAGTCTGAGAAACTGTCACAGCCAAGAGGAGCCTAGGGAGACATGAGGACCAGATGTCATGTGTCCTGGGTGGATCCTGGGACAGCAAGAGGAGTTTAGGTAAAAACTAGGGACGTGTGAACCAAGTGTGGATTTGCGTTAACAACAATGTGTATCGTTGTGTTGGTTCATTAATGATAACGAACATGCCATGCTAATATGCAAGGTCAATGGCAGGGGGACCTGTGTGTTGGGGGAGGGTATGTAGGACCTCTCTGTACTAGCTGTTCAATTTTTCTGTACCTCTAACACTGTCCTAAAAACTGAAATCCATTAATAAAAAATGACATGTACTGGAGGCGTCGCTGTAGGAGCGACAGGGGTGGAGAAGATGGACATAGCTGCTCTGAGCGGACAGCGTGCCGGGGTCCACTAACGAGTGTCTAATGAAAAGAAGGAAGAACTCCACTGAGGTGAGAAATTACTGTCCAAGGACCTGGTGTCCTTGGGTCTTTGCTGTTGGTGTGGCCTCTCTGTGAGGGTGGAGCACAGCAGATGGGTCAGCAGCCTCACCAGGACTTGGCTGCCAGGACCCTGGCTGCAGCCCGATTTGCCCTTCTTCCAGATGCCTCTCAGGGCCAGTGACCCTGTGGCCTGTTCTTTCTCACACACGTGGAGCAACTCTGTCTGTGCAGGCCTCTGGGGTTCTTTCCTTTGATGCTTTTGTGGTGAATCTCCAACGTCACGGCCAGTGTTGGAGCCCTGGTAGAATGTGCTGATGAAAATCAACGGGCAGTTAGCCTTACTGCATTCCTGCTGACTACTACACCACTCAGCTGCCTCTTGGAAATCCATACCTCGTATCCACACCTCGTTGTAGCAAGTGAAGACTGAGCGGTATTAAGCAAAGTGCTTAATCCAGCTTATTTTAAGCTTATTTTACCATGCAGTTCTTTCTTGAGGAACATTTGTTAATATCCCAGAGAACATTTTCTAGGGAAAAACGTCACGGTCAGACACTCAGCATTATTCTGTGTCTGGCGACCTTGGCATGCCTGCGTCCTGTGTCTGTCTAACTGTCTGAAGATCACATTCTCATTCTTGAGGTCTTTTTCTAGGTTTCAAAATGACTCCTCGCTTTTTAAAGAGAAACTTTCTTAAGACTTAATAAAATACAGTTGACTAACCTACGTAGATATGTTAATACCTTCCTGAAGCTGTATTCCTTGTTACCTTGAAAGGAATTTGGATGTTTCAGAAACTGCCTTCTCACCCACTTATATGTTATTCGTTCACATGGACTGATTACCTTTAAAGAGAGCTCATCTTACCCATTACAAGTTAATTTTCTCTCTTCGTGCTCACCAGCACTCTGATCTTCACATTGTGGGTGTGGGATATCCTTCTTTTGTCTCCAACGTATACCATGGCAGCTGAGTTTCATCCAGACAAAATCATGGCTAACAGATATTTTTGCATAAATGGGCACGAAGAGGAAAGAAATCATATTTGCAGTCCCTTTAGACTTTCAGAGAAGACTATAGGTAGAATTACCATGATTTGAAAAGGAGAGGTAACTGGGTTGGAAGAAAAAGGGTAGGTGTAAGTTTAAAGGTTAGAGTTCATTTCTTCAGTGATCACTGGCAGAGTCCATCCTAACAGGTCGCTGAAGATGTGGTTGGAATGAGCTACATTACATGCTGCTCAGTAGTTAAGAGATGAATGAGGAGTGTCCGTCTGGTCTCTGCCCAGCACTGCCAGTCCCATGGGAAACCCTGCAGTGCCTCCACCTAGCCTGAAGGAGAAGGTCATACTCCCCGGTCCTGTGCGGCCCTGGAGATGGCGAGGCCGCAGCCTCTGCCCAGTTCACCCACCAAGCACACCCATGCGCACCTCTCTTGACCTTGGGCCCAGTCTCCTTACCCATCTCCCACCTCCCTGGAAATTCCCCTCTTCCTTACTTCTTACTCTCTTCCTACTTGGAGGATTGACTGCCTCCTCTTGTGTCCTTCGAGCTTCCTGGGTCCTACAATAGCACCTCCAGGACAGCACCTCCAGACAAGCATGGTGAGCATTTGAAGAGACGGAGACACATGATGTCTTCGTCTTTTCAAGACATTTCCGGAAAGAACCCAGAGACACAGAAAAAGCTGGGAGACCTCCATACACTCCTCTTCCCACAGATGGTCACTTCTGCGGTTTGGTCTGGTTCTTCTGGTGGAGAAGAGAGATCACAACTCTTCCTTTGACTGGCTGGTGGTGAAATGAGGCGGCATGGAAGGGTGTGGAGTGAGAAGTGGAAACAGGTTCTGGGAACAGCCTCTGCTTCTGAACGCTTTGCCCCGTCATGCCAAACCTGCTTGAGCACCACGTCTACCTGGAGTTGCTGGTTCTGTCCCCCCAGGCCCCAGTAAGAGAAGCCCAACCTTTTATCCGCATGTGCGGTTGATTCCTCAGTAAGTGTGCAGGCCCTCCCGGCAATGCTGACGGCAGCTGCTCTCCGCTCTGATTCTGGCCAGTCACCCCTCGCCAACGTGCCATCTAACCGCTCCCTTTGAGAAATGCAGCTTGTCAGTATTTCCTTTGCAACCGTTGGTGTGAAGCGGCGACATTTTCTGGTGCCATGGGTGCTGCTCACATTACCCACGGTTACTTACTTCTCTGGATGTGGTCATCTCCTGAGTGGAATGCAAGATTGTAAAAGCCACGTTCTTCCAGCCCACTGGACAGTCTGTGCCTCCATGTACTCTGCCCTCCAGTCAATTCAGCAAACATTGGTTGCCTACTGTGTGCAGAGAAAATGATCCCAGAAACAGATGGTTCCACCCTCAAGAAGCTTAGGTTCTGTGGTTCCAGCTAAATACAACACAAATCGGGAAGGTAGAGAGCCAGGATTGAGTAGGGCAGAGAAAGCCCCAGTGGTTTTAAGTCCAGGGGGCATCTTAGCTGCTGGCTGAAAGTATGGGCTCTGGAGTCTGCCTCAGCCGGGATGCTGGGAAGGCTCCTTAACCTCTCTGGAGTGGAGTTTTCTCATCTCACCTCACAGGCCATTCAGGCATCTAGTAACATGAGTGGACCCATAACACAGTGTAGTCACATCGTGAGCACTTAATAAACACCCTCTTAGGGAAGAGGGTGACTCTAAAGATGGCTCCTCTGTCAGGGTAACTAGTACACCTGGTAAAATGTGGAAATCACCTCAGTGCCCATCTGCCGGTGCCCAGAAGGGCAGTTGCGACCAGACCTTTGAGGACCGTTGCGGAGGTGGCAGTGGCCATGACTTCTGGGTGGGCTCTTTGTAGAGTGGGGGCTCTAAGAGCAGCCTCAACATGTGGCGTTCCTGGTCTCGTTTAATCTTAATCTCAGCCTGAAGGAGGAGTATGACTGTCCCCATTTGGGACACAGGTTTGGCCAGGGCCACACAGAATAAGCAGTAAAGCTCAGGCTGGAGCCTGTTCTCCCAAGAAGCCCCGTGGCTGCTACTGATGGCTCCCATCCTTGAAGGCGCAAGCCAGAGGTCTTGATTTTATCCTCACCACAGACTTGAGTGTTTGCTGCAGTTGGTTTGTCCTTTACTGCCCGAATCCCCGAGTGTGTGCTGTGACCTTAACATTTGCTTCCACGCTGTCTCCTCCAGGAGCACCTGCAGACACACCAGGCCGGCCCCTCGCTGAGCTCGCAGAAGCCACGGGTGTTCAAGTGCGACACCTGTGAGAAGGCATTTGCCAAGCCGAGCCAGCTGGAGCGACATAGCCGCATTCACACAGGTACAGGCATGCTCACGCTTGGAGGGGGTCGTCGCTGGCAAGAAAGCAGGGCTCCTGGACCATGTGACGCGCCACCTACTGAGCAGGGCCCCGTGGCTACTTGCCTTGGTTTCTGGTCGATTTATTAGCCTCACTAGCTTTTTCTAGTAAAAGATCTTGCCTTTTACATTCTGGCCACAGGAGATAGAAGCCATCGGATGGGCGGTCGGGATTTCAATCTCGGTGACCCCCCCACCCCCCACCCCCGTTGAATGGAGATGGCCCCCTTAGCCTCAGCTCACATCTCCTCCTACCCCAAGGTGGGAGGCATTCCTTATCTTTCTCTTCTGTCTTCAAACTTTTCTTCTCTACTGGCTTTTCCTATCACCACCTAAATCTGCTCAAGCGTCTCGTTTTAGAGGGAAAAAAACAACAAAACAAAGACACGAGCTCTTCCTTCCTTCCCTCTGCCTCTTGGCCTGTTTCTCTGTACTCCACTCCAACCCTTCTGTGTCTGCCCTTTCCTCATGTGCATCAGCCCTGGCTCATTTGTGACCGGTCACCAGGGGCTGGGGGCCTCCTGTGGTTCTCTGTTCCTGCTGCCCCACCTGCTGCGGGCATCAGGACTCTGGTCAGCCTCCTCCCAGTCTCCTGTCACTCCTCCAGCTCTGTGTTCAGACAGCAGCCAGACTGAAACCCTAAGAGTAAATGCCATTCCCCCCCTTACCCTCAGGTGGGCCCAGTCATCTTCCCACAGGCTCTGGGCCGGTAGGTGGACTGTGTCTTGCTCCAGACTCTGACTGGAGCAGATCCTTGCACCAGCCAGGTGTGCAGCATGGAGTACTGAATGAGAAACTTCATACTGTATTTTTTCAAAAGCACCATTTAAAAAGAGAGAAACTCCAGGTTGCCTTTTATAGTACAGTAGATGCATGGTGAAGGGTTTGGAGAAACACACTCAACACATATTACTGTGCACTTTTGAAACTCCAAGATGAATAGTGTCTTGAATCCCTTTACAGTCTAAAATGAAATTTTAGCATTGGACTCTAGCGAATATGATCTGGTATAGAGCTATATGACAAGAAAGTATGCTGCTTCAATGAACCATGGTCTTCAATTTCAGTCCAGAGATTTAAAGCTCAGTGTAAAATAAGAATGCCGTTCATCTATGTTTACCTAGATTTGCTATTTTATCATTAATCTTAAGGTCTATTTGTGTGCTCTATTAAATATTTCTGTAATATTTCTTTTTTTTTGTCTTTTTCGTGACCGGTAAGGGGATCTCAACCCTTGGTGTGGTGTTGCCCACACTGCGCTCAGGCAGTGAGTGCACCGGCCATTCCTATATAGGATCCAAACCCGCGGCGGGAGCGTCACTGTGCTCCCAGTGCTGCACTCTCCTGAGTGCGCCACGGGGCTGGTCCAGAAATTTGTTTTTCAGTACAGTTTTTTAAAAAAATATTTGT